TGTTAATACATACAAGCAAACGAAAAGCTCCCAGTGATGACAAAGTAGAGATTCTCACAAAAAAACACAAAACTATTAATATAGAAACAGATATACCATATGCAGAATTTTTTAAAAATGCAGCTAAAAGAAAAGCAAGTGAGGGCATAAACAAAGAACAACAAAAAAAGCCAAGTAAATATTTATCATTTATCTGTCTTCAACTTGTAAGGGGACTGATCATTCACATTCTTCAAGCAACCATTGTAAATTTCAAAAACATCATGCACCCAAATCTGTTCAGGAAAAAGGCACAAAATACAAACACACAGTAAAAACCGGACCAGAAGGATTCCTTAAAGATAAAGATCTTGAGCCTGCAATCCTAACTCAAATTGTTTTTGAAGGCTTAAACAAACGGCATTTTATCACATGACCCTTAGTGTTCAATTTCCTTTTAACATAAGTGAAGGTGCTTTCAAGTATATGAGACAATGTTTCCAAGCTGTAACCACATACCAAGATACCACCAAAGAACCATTATAAATAATATTCGAGATACCCTCTACACAATATCAACCTTGAGGAATGAATTGGGCAAATAAAAAATCATTAGGTCAACTTCTCTCCTCTGCTGCATGGCAATATGTTACAAATTGTCAGAACCACATATCAATAACTGACTTAAAGATGGATAAAATATAAATTATTTAAGATTCATCAATTCCCTTTACCCAAAAAACTCTCTACATCACATCCGCAAATACCTCATTTACCTTACTATCTGCATTCAATATATTCACTTGAAAGTGCAACAGACACTATTCCAAAATCAAGCTCTTGTTGATGTATCTGTAAAAGCATCCTGGTGGTCATATCTTCCAAGTCTTCATAAAATCCTGTACATCTTTACCAAGCATAACTGGGAATGTGGTCTTTGTCTCTTCACACTTCTGCCTGAATACTCTTTCCAACAAAAGTACATATTAGTTGATACTGATGCTTTATATTACATGTATAAATCAATTGAAAAAGTAGGAGTAACAACCATTCAAAGATTCAGAGCTGAAAGGGAAACTTGATGGATGGAAGCATTAATATTAATAAAGTCACCACCCGAAATCAAATCTTTGCTCACTCCATACAAACTGATGGTCTTGCAGTATCAGTTGGTCTGCAGAAGAAAGTTGATGATAATAAAGAGGATATTGATTAGGAAGGATCAAATATCAATTTGAATGGATGCAAAGTATTTGGAAGAATAGATCTGTTTGTAGCAGTGAGTTCAGATGAAAAAGTTGTGAGCTGTTCCAACAAGGAGTACTGGAACTTAGCAGGATTTGTTCATGCTTCAAAAAACATGAGTTGTGTGGTTGGAAAAAAATAAATATCTTCAAACTGTTATTCAAAGTGAGCTATATTTTGTTAATTTAATTTAATTTGCTGTTAAACAAGAATATCATTGAATAATATTACTTACATACCTTTCACCTAATACTAATACAAACCTAGAAATTCTAACCTCTGATGTCACTAATTTCTATGAATATTGATGGCTTTTACCTTGATATGATCCTTAATTTTTATGGTGAATGTTGTTGGCATTGGTTGCAATGGAAATCTTTTTATTAATAAGCAGAAGCCTTTGATATTCTGTACAAGAGAATAACAAATAGTAATGATGACAGTACAGTTGTTGCATTTGGTGATGGTAAATTCTCATCAACATCACATGGCATGCTCCAGGCCCTGTAAAACAATTTCGCTGAGAGCTTTCTAGACACTGCAAGGTGGTGAACATTGATGAGTTCCGTACTTTCTCAGTCTGTTCTTTGTGTGATGGATGGTTTGATAAGCATCAAAAATTCTGGTCTGTCAGAGTGTGCGATCAGCCTGTCTGGCACATTGGAATGAGATGTTAATGCTGCCTGTAACATAAGGAACATTTTTTTGCACATAAACATTTATGGAGAGAGACCTGATCCATTTATAAGGGGACTTACTGACCTCTATGTTACCATTTTAACTATGGCAGGAATATGTCTAGCTGGTGGCAGCAGCAGCAAGGATGACTTTCTATGAGGCCACAATTAGCTATAGGGAAGATTTGGATCTTTCTAATTTAGTGTAATAAGGTTTACTTGTTATAATATGTATATTTTGTTTTATTACGTAATTTTTTTTACAAATAATTCGCACAATACCACACGTGATCAAAACAAAATAAAGTTTTTTAATAAAGATGGAATTTGCTTTATTTTTTTCAACAACTATTATATTTTTATTGTTTTTATCAATTACGCTACTAAATCTATTAATAATCAATAATAATAGTAATAACAATGATAAACCAATATATAATAACATCAATATAGTCGATTCAAAATTAGAACAAGTCACGTTAAGACATATAATACATTATGGCACAAACAGATATCCTAATCTTATACGTCGTCTTGATTTAAATACTTCCCAAGTGCATCTCCGTGAATTAAACACTGGAATAACTTTTACACATGGTGTAAGCTTAATAAACGGAACTGGTGTTAGGCCTGTTAGACGCGACGCAATAAAAGAATTTCAATTTCTTTCTCAATATAAACAAACTTCATCGATAATTGAATGGAATGATTCTGTCGATTTGTTGTTACCGAATGTTACAGACATGCAAACTTTGATAAGTTTAGCGAAAATGTCTTCAAATGCGTATATCAAATGTGATGACGATGATTGGTATGATCTAGGCAAACATTATAATTTGGTATGAATGAATTTATTATTATTATTAATGTGTATATTTTATATATACATGTTCGAATCATGTAATAAAATATTATACTACTTTTACTACTATAATAATTTTTAAAAGAACTCTACATTCGGATGGGAAGATGATGGTATACGCGGATATGTTTTTGGAAATAAGAACAATAGTTTAATGGTTATTGCGATCAAAGGATCCAGTGTAAAATTTAATGATGGAGGACCAACCGAAGAACAAGATCGTATTAATGTGAGTTTCAGACAAATCAATTGGTTGGTTGGTTGGTTGGTTTGATTTGATTTGATTATGTTGTAACCCATTCATTCATTTCAGTTTTTTTTTTAAATTAGGATAATCGATTATTTTCTTGTTGTTGTAAAATTGGTTGGCCATGGAAGCCAGTGTGTAATTGTCATAAAGACAATAATGAATGTGATTTGGATTGTGTACAAGATAGTGTGGACGAAAGAAAATTGTATTATAATTCAATTTTGGTAAACAAATATTTGTATTTTTTTATTCTTTTAAATCATTACTAACATTACTAACATTATATTGGCTAATTGCAAATAAGGAAATGTTTGAAAATATAACAAAAGAATACGAAGATGAGAATCTACAAGTATGGTTAACAGGTCATTCATTGGGAGGAACTCTTGGATCTTTGGTTGGATCATCCTATGGGATACCAACTGTAACGTTTGAATCACCAGGTGATAGAATGGCAGCTAGTAGATTACATTTACCAAGACCACCTGCTCTACCAGATGATAAAATGAATATTTGGCATGTTGGTAATAATGCTGACAGTATTTTTATGGGTTTATGTCATGTAATTAATATTTTATAATAATATATAAATTTTATTGAATAAAATTCTTTAATTAATAGTTGGTATTAATGATTTTATATTTTATAATCAATATTAGGGATTTGGAACTTTGTGTTGGATAGGTGGATATGCGGTAAGATGTTTGCACGTATTTGTTTGATTGATTTTGTCTATTAACCACTTTTCAATTCATAAATTAATTTAAACAATTTACTTCTTTTTGAAGATGGAATCAAAATGTCATATTGGAAATGTTTGTCTATTTGAAGTGGCGGAAAAATTAGACTGGAATGTTAATGCTAGAAATCATCCTATTATGAAAAACATCAATGAAGTTTTAATTCCATGGGAAAAGGATTATAATTTCACTATTCCAGAATGTAAGCCTGAAAAGGATTGCGTGGATTGTGAAAAATATAAATTTGTTTGAAAAATAATGTATTCTAAATATTATTTTTGTGCAAAAATTTTTTCAACAAATCAAAAAGTTTGATAGTCTCCATATGAAGGATGATACGAACAAGCCTTAGTGGTTGTTTTATTAAATTTATTAAAACGAAATTCACATATATATAAAAATAAAATTTGTTGGTGTGCTCCAACCATCGCATTACCAATGTCCTAGTTAGCCCCAAAAATTTTCCAAATATATATTTAAAAGTTAAACTTTGCTATGAATACCATATCGAGGAGTTCTAGGTATTAGTATGGATATATTGCTAGTTTTTATCCAAGCCTGTCGTAACGGAAACCCTACGGTAAAAGTAATTACTTATTCACCAAGTTATTCTGCTAAGAATCAATGTATGTGAGGTTTTCTTTTGCATTATTTAAGATTAATTTTTTAATTTAAATTTGAACTTTGGAATCGTTTTATCCCAATTGGTATTAGCAAAGGCATTTAGTGCGTGTTACTATCAACTGATACATTTCATTAATTATGTAAACTTGAAATTTAGAATTATGTTAAAGCCATTTTTTGACTGTTTTTCCAGCTAGCTATTTTATTTTTAATATTTTTGTGATGACTAAAACATTTCTATTTTCTTGCCATGCTTCTTTATGTTATTCAATTTCTTCCATTTGTTCCATTACTATATCTTCTTGTATCATATCAGTTTCTCGCATTATTTCAAGATAGTTTTTTTTATGTATGATTTTTTAATCAGTGTCTTAAATTTAAAAAGATACTAGCTTTACAAAAATTTTTTTTTGTGGTAGAAGTATTTTTACTTTCTGAAAGCTAATAACCAGGGCTCGAATATTACCTTAAAAATCTGTATTTTCCTTAAAATTTATTTAATAGATTCCCATTTTTATACCACTTTTATACCATGGTTAATAAAAAATTTTTTAACAAAATATACCTGCTTCTTCTGCAGCATTAGAACGTGATTTTGGTTATATCCATAATGTTAGAAGAAATAGATTCACTAATGAAAATATACTTAAACTTGTTTCAATATATTCCAACTTAAGATTATCTAATTTATATGAAAAAGGTTTGAAAAATGATTCTGAATATCAAACAGAGATTAATGATGAAGATGAAGAAATTGACAATGACTTGGATTTCGATTATAATGGCTATGATTATGATGGTGATAATTATGATGATGTTGATGAATTTATTAATTTAGAAGATAGTAGTAACAATCAAGAATTCTATGAAGATATATAACAGTTTATTCTACAATTAGTATTTCTTATGAATAAATATTCAACCATCTTATTACATATTAGTGGTATATACCAACCAACGATACCCGATATATACCATGGTATATACCCCTCAAATCTTTTACAACACGTTATATACTATCCCTAATCATAAGTAAACGTAAATATGAAGGATCGGATAATCTATCTAGCGAATGGGTTGAAATTCAGATAATATATAAAGACAATATAAGGATGTAACGATTAATATAACAACTATATTAGAAAAAGGAAAGATAAGAAAATGATGATAATTTGTTCAGTTTTTTTATTGTTATCACGTGATAAAAGATTGACCAAATTTCAATTCGTTTCATTTTTATTATCTTTCAAAATTACATCTTGTTTTTTTTTTGGCCATGCATTTCCATTTTCGGAGTTAAAGGATTTGCAAGACAATAAAAGTTGTAGAGACTAAGTATCTTGCAATTAATTGAATTAATTAAATGTCTGTTTTTCTAAATGAATATAAAATTTTTTGCAACTTAACACCCAATTTCGGATATGGTGACTGAACCGTTCCAATTCCTATTTAAGTCGTTAATTGGTCTTTGGAGGTTCTTTTTTGCTATATCCATTTTTAATTATTTTAGGAATCAAGGATATATCAAGTTCTAAAGCACTTATTATTGACTTTATTATTCACGCAATGTCAAATATCAAATTATGTGGAATTTTAACATTTCAATTAAAATGTAAATATTTTCAAAATTGACATATGTATGTATTATATTTAATTTATCGTTTATTAGAAGCAAACTGAATCCATCATAGTTCCTAATGACATAACAATATTATTAGACATGACTTCTTCCACACTTTCTTCTAAATGACGCTTTGGATCTTGTTTACCAACATGTCTGGTTTTCAATTGTTCTGGTGTCATCGTTGATTCCTCTTGAACTGATTTATTGTAAGCCTCTGTTAACGAAAGCATAGACTAATAAACATAATAACAAAATATTATTATTATTAGCGCTCAGAAAGAATAATATAGTCTTATTTCTAAATAAATATATATACTTTAACATTTTTTTCATTCAATTCTGTGTGATCGGTAAAATTTGTTAATCTCAATCCATGTGTCCAATTTTTTTTGTGTAAATTAAGCAGCATTTTTTGTTCTAATTCATTTTTTCTATAATTTATTGCAATTGAATAATAATGCCGATTCAATCCATGTATCAATGCCTAATATTAAATAAAATATAAATATATAAATATATTATATAAATTATTTAAATATTTAAATATTATTTATTATTAACCTGAATACTTGGTTTATTTAAATGGCCAATGTTTGATGTAGTTTGACGTGGCTCTTGACCAAGCATAAGCATTTGAGGATTAATAAGACGAAATGCATCAATAACCACTTTTCCTTTCACAGACTGTATTGGATCAACAACAACGGCTACAGCACGTTGATTTAAAGCTTCAAAACTCTAAATAAAATAAAAAAATTAATTAATTAATTAATTAATTAATATTTATTGCGTGAATAATTATTAAAATACCTGTTGTGTGTTTATATCAACACTAGATAACCAACATCCAAATCCAGGATGAGAATGATACCAACCAACTACCATTTCTGGTCTGAGAAATTATTTCATTAATAAAATTTTGAATAGAATGCACAATCTTTAAAAAAATAAAAAGCTGGAAACTCACCGCCCAGTCTGTTTTAACATATCCAACATTTTTGTTTGAAATACTGGATCAACTGCTTCTACAGATACACCAGTACCGCTTTGAGGCATGGCAAAAACATCTATTACTCTTACTGTATAATCATCAACAAATTCCCCAAGCATTAGACCCATAACTTCCATAGGCACACCAGCACGACCTAAATTGATATTTAATTAAACAACATGTAATAAAACAACATCAATTGGAGCATCTGTCATATAAATTTAAATATGTCTATACCATGTTTGAGCATCTAATTATGAAATATATTAAAGAAAGTAAGAAATAATTAATAAATATCTCAAGAAAATAATAGCTGCACCTTTCTTTTAAAATCATACATACCTTAAGCAATGCTAAAGAAGAAATGTAAACCATTTCTGCATTATCAACTGTTGGTGTATCCATCCCAGGTTGCAAGCTTTGACCTGCTGCTGCTGCACCAAAAAGTCTTTGAAGTCTGTCCATTGATTTATTTTTATTTTTAATTAAAATAAATTTCAGTCAGTGGAGAAATTCAGGTTGTACAGATTTCAAGAGTGAGCATGCGTCATCCATGAACGTCATTCATTACCAATCAATTTTGATTGGCTGATCGAATTCACATTTTTGATCATAATCAAGAACTCTTGCATCTTGTTACCGCATTAGTCTTAGGTTGCGATGTACTATTATCATTTAAAATTTGAACTTTACACTGATATTAATAATATACCTACACCTGCTTCAACTTCAACTTCAACTCCAACTCTCACTTCAACCCCATCAACTTTTAATAAAACTCACGATTTTAGATTTGGTAAAATTGAAATTGAGTGGCTTGACAGTCAGAGAAATATGGATAAACAAAATAACGACAATGCATCACACACAAAAATTGAATCAAAAACAACTGAAATTGAGAGTGGAGACTCGACAAGCTCATCTTCTTTTGAAAGCACTTTAAACGTTTTTAATTCACTTTTGACGCCAAATCCTTCCAGCGATACTGATGTTATTACAGCCACTGCCACAACTACAGCTGCCTCTGCTAAGAAACAGAAAACTAAATGTGTTGACAAAGTAATAAATTCTTTAGCTGGTGAATATGTGCCTCTTAAATCTGGTAAAACAAATCCTAGTTATGGAATTTTACATTTATATCGTGATCCGAATGAAATTCCTAAAGACAATAATAACGTTTCAAAAAATGCTAACGATAAGGTTAATAATAGCCAGGATTCTTTGAATACAAATACAAATATAATTGAAAATAATGATGATACTATATTAGCTGTGTTAGCTGTTCCTTCTTATATGAGTGCTTCTGATTTTTTAGGATTTGTTGCATCAGTAAGAAGTGATGTAAGCCATTTTAGGTTTATAAGGTAAATTTTATGAAATATCATATAAAGATGATTTTACGCAAAATATTATAATTAATCATATCTTATATTTCGTTATAGAGATTCTGCACCTAATAAATTTGTAGTGTTGATGAAATTTCGTAATTCACATGTAGCAAATGATTTTTATAAACAATTTAATGGTCAACCATTTAGTTCAATGGAGGTAAATTAATATATTATTGTTATTACGATTATTATTATTATTATTTTACTATATAAGTAATATCTTTTTATATATTACAAATTTTAGCCTGAAATATGTCATGTTGCTTACATCAAATCAATAGAATTTAAATCCACCACAATTTCTCCTTATTCGTTTCCATTTTTACATGATCCATTTCTATCATCTTCACAACAAGAAAATTCTACAATTTTACATGAGCTTCCTACTTGCCCTGTTTGTTTAGAAAGAATGGATGCTTCAGTAACAGGTTTATTGACAATATTATGTCAACATACATTTCATTGTAATTGTTTGAGCAAATGGGGCGATAGTAGGTAGGTTGTTTATTTATTTTATAATTTTTTTTTAAATCATTAGTTATATGAATATAATTTTTAATAAAAGTTGTTTAAATGTTTTTTGAAAAAAAAAGTTGCCCGGTTTGTCGTTATAGTCAAAAACGTGGTGATTATGACACATCATCGGAACAGAATGAATGTGAGGTCTGTGGTGCCATTGAAAATTTGTGGATATGCTTAATTTGTGGAAATATTGGATGTGGCCGATATCAAGAAGCTCATGCACATTGTCATTATAAAGAAACATCACATTTATATGCAATGGAACTAGAAACCCAAAGAGTATGGGATTATGCTGGTGATGGGTAGGCAATTTTGAAAGAATATTTCTATACGATTAAATAGATAATTAATTGTGTTGTTATGCTAAAATTTAGATATGTGCATCGATTAATTCAAAACAAATCGGACGGTAAATTAGTTGAATTACCCAGTCCAGATTCGAGAAATCAATCAAATCAAGCACATAATGATCAAGTCTGTTAATTTATATTTATTTGCGAAAAAATATTAATATAAATAGTATAAATATAATTTTTCATTTCCATTTTATAGAATAAACTTGATGAAATGGCAGCTGAATATACATACCTTTTGACTACGCAATTATCATCTCAAAGAACTTATTATGAAGAGAAAATAGAATCATTGACTAAAGAACTTTCAAAACTATCAAACCAAGTTCAATTACAGTCTAAAGAAATAACAAATATAAAGGAGAATATGGATAAAATACAAAATCAAAAAGATGATCTTGAAAAGATAAAAATACCAAATTTAACAAAGGAAAAGAAAAATTTTGAAAAAAAATCTGAGAATTTTATGGAAAAATCGAAAAAATTGGAAAAGGAGTTAATGGAAGAAAAAGAGGTAAAAAAAATAAATTTGGTTTAATTTTTTTTTATTATAAAAATTATTGAAAATTTTTCTATTTTTTTTTTAAAAAAACAAAGATGACAAAATCTTTAGTGATTAAGCAACAATTTTTACAAGAACAACTACAGTCTAAAGATAACAAAGTCAATGATCTTGAAGAACAAATAAAAGATTTGATGTTTTATTTTTCAGCTCAAGATAAAATGAAAGAGAATCCTGAATTAATCGGTGGAAATATATTAGTATCAGAGAACAATAATGGTATTGGTGGTAGTGGAAGTTCGAGAAAGAAAAAAGGGAAAAAATAAAAATTTTGAAATATCACGACACACTTATCAGCGTTTCCTATTTATCTTTCTTAATTTAGTAATTTATAAATAAATAATATATTGACCATTATATGAAAATTAACTCAATATAAAGAAAGTTTCTTTTTATAATAATCAGTTATTAAATGCTTCCATATCTTGATCCTGTTGATATGATGGAAAAATTCACATAATAGATTATTTTATAGATTAATTATTTTTAATATCTCTTTTTCAAAGAAATCTGCATTAAAAATGAATGAATGGAATGTCTTAATATCAATATAAAAATGACATATATAGAAATCATTATTAGCAAAACTTCAACAATAAAATTACAATAAAATAGTAAAACAACTATGGAAACAAATTCTAAGTTAAATAAAACAAAAAGAAATCCTATTAATTAAATAAAGTAATTGTGGCAACACAACCGTTTTTCATTGCCTTTAAATATAAATAAAAATAATAATAATTAATAAAGTAAATATAAATAATATTTAAAAAGCTTCAATAAAAATTTTTACCTCAAATATAGCACCATCATAACCACTTAGCTCTGTTGGGCCAAAAGGATTTTGATCACCTGCACCACGATTGAAAATCAACGGACGTCCAGAGGATTCACCCAACAACTGTTTTATCCTTTCGATCTATGATTTAATCAGTAATAAATTAGAATTCAAAGAAAATTAAATACTACATAAAGAAATAAATAACATTATAAGCAAACCTTTGTTTCTGCCATTATAAAATCATTACCAGTTTGTGAAGGTTGAGATGTTTGTTGCGAATCATCATCTGTCACCATTATTTCAGCAACTGGAATCACATAATAAATATATATCATTATGGTTTTAAGTTGAATAATGGGTTTATTATTTATTATATTTACCTTTATGATTATACGTTGTTGTTATTGCTTTTTTTTGCAAAATTATTTTATAAGGACACCTTTTATATCTATAAACATATTAATTTAAAATATTATTGAAGCGTCGCCTAACTACTATATTGTAAAACAAAATCATCCTCTTACGTTTGGAAATCATAATGACCAGGCACATTTCCATGCAAAACAATTTTTTTACAACGATGTGTCATTCCATCAAAAAGCACATCAAATCCCAAATGGAAATAATTATAAAAATAATCAATTGGGTGACCTGTACCTTATATTTCAATACAAACAAAAACGGATATATTAGGCATACGAATCATTTAGTAAACATATAATCGAACTACTTTTATATACTCAAAGAATTTTTTTTTCCTTTGATATTTATACCTTCATCTCGAGAATTATTTGCTTCTTCATTAGATAATTCATGATCATTAACACCATTCTCCGTGTTCTCAATAACATTATTATTATATTCAGAATGAATCTGCATTTTATCTTCTTCCTTATAGAAAATTCTAAGAGGTCTCCCTAAGTCCACAATTAAATCTTGTGAAGTGGTGACTTTTAAAATGATTTCAATTGAAATGAGATTAGCATTGCTCCCAGAAAAGAAGTTGACTTGAGCTTTATGTTTCAACTATTTATAATCATATCAATATTTGAGAATAAAGTTAATTTATAACAATAAAAAGTTAATAATAAAGATAACAATGAATTTTTTTTAGTTGAAAATTTCAAATACCTCAACAACCACACTTTCTATTTCTATATTATCCTCATTACCTCTTCCAATGCCATCAAGAATAACATTTCTGGTTAAGGATGGAATCACTGGTTCGCGGTAATTGGAGCCATGACAAAAAAGACGCAATCGAGATAACAATGGTGATGACTTATCCGGCAGTTCCAAAGGAAGATCTGAAAGTTGTAAATTTACAAATATAAAATGGATGATTCACATATATGTTTCATGTCATTCATCAAAGACAATTTACCGGTTGAACAATTATATTTATAGTCTGCAGGTATAGGAAACATAAACGAAATACCCTGTTAAATATATTATATAAAACAAATAGATTAATAATATTAAAAAATATATAATACAAATTGCTAAGTTCCACTTACAGATTTACAAATATTATGTGTTGACTCACCGGGTAATTCAGTGTATAATTCAGTGTATAATTAGAATTTTTAATCTCTTGTGATTTCTCAGACTCTCCAAGATAAGTGGGTCTACAAATTATATTATTAATTCGATTAATTATATCAATTAAAAGAATCTGGTGGGATAATATATATATAGTATAAAATAATAAACAATCAATTACCCAAAAATTTTATAAATAGATAAAAAAGTTGGTGCAACTTTATTAGAGCTAAATAAATTATTGAGAGATAAATATAAGTGTTCAATTGACAAATATCTTCCAAAAAAATTTTTTTGCTTGAGTGAATCCTTTTAAATTACCAAAACTCGTTATCTTGATAAATCAATCTTAATTTTGAAAAATCATATACTTCAACTGATTTCAATCGTTGTGATTGTGCATCAAATCGCATATTAATACCATTTGCCGGTAAAGTTAAAAATGAATCTGTAGAAAGTGGCGACTTTGAAATTTGAATGTATAAATATAAAGTAAAGAAAACAAAGATAAAAATCTGTTTAAATGATACAAAGAAAACGCATACCTCTTCACTATATTTTAGATCCACTCTTGGAATTACCCTGGATTGTTCTCTCAAAAAATTAATCATGTCCCATATTGAAGTACCTAAAACCAATAAATTGGTGTTTAAATAATATTTTTTAAAAAATAGCCTCCTGATTGCTAAATACCTAGCCGGATCCAACCTAGACTTTTCCCCGGAACCACTGTTAATTCAAGTCTTTGTGGATCTCGAAGAGTTGAGGCTTCATGTTGCAAACTTATCATTTTATTGTTATTATACTATTAAAAGTTGAAGGTCAATCAATATAACAAATTGTAATAATGTGTGTGAATTTATTTCTGCATGAATTTTGCTGCTTTCCCGAAAGAAAATTAATTTATTGCGTGTAACCAACTGCTGTATCCTTAAAATCGCGTATTGTTTTTTTTAAAAATAACAGGCTTTCATGATTTCAAAATGATATCAACAGATCAACTTGAAACAATTCATAAACTTATATTTCAAGAAAAAAGAACGGTATATACATCTTTTGTTACTTTGTAAATTGTTAATAGGAATTTTTTTTTAAAAACCATTTTTTGAAATTTTAGATTACCTACAAATGGTTAAGTCGACATTTAGGATTATCTACAAATCAAGCAAAAATGTAGTTTATATGCAACCTCTAATATATTACTTGCTAGTTTAAATTTCTAAAGGTTTATATATTTATCTTAAAAAAAAAACTTTTGGTATTGTCATGCATATAGGATATTATCTGAATTTATCACTACATCAAATGTTTCTGGTAATTCTATACGCATTATCTATTGTCTTTGTGGCCGCATTAAGGACAATGAACAACAATCAGTTATGCTAATCTTGCAAGATGAATTAGAAGGTATATTATCATAGAAATTATAAATCATCTAACTACTTTTGTCAAGAAACTAATAAAAATTTTAAAAAGCAACTAAAAAATTGTTTGATGAGTTGACAAGTATACATGTTTACAGTATTGGGATAAATTGTACACAAGTAATATATTTGTATTTTAGGTTTTTTTTTTAAAAAATAACATGTTTATTAAAATAATGACTTATTTGTGTTTGATAACAAGAAATAATAATAAATCTTTCGTTTTATTAAAGGATGCATCAGCTCTCATTCATGTATATGACAATTTAAAAGAGACATCTAATTCAGTAACACTTGACGTTAAAAAAGAGATAAAACAGGAAGAAATAAAAGTTGTTGAAGTGAAAAAAACTTTGTCATCTAAACATTCTAACATCTCTGAAGTATGTTTATTATTGATTATATATTTTGAAAATAATATTTTATGAACATATTTGAAAGCAATAAGAAAATCAAAAATCAAAGATTATTTCATTTTTTATATGAATTTTTATTTTTAGAAATCATCAGAAAACTTTTTTAAAAAAAGAAAAGGGCTTCATGAAGGTGAAAAAAATGAAGGTATATAAATAAATTTTATTTTCACATAAATATTAAATCAAATTTAATATTAATTGTACTATTTTTTTTTTAAAAAAAAGATGATGTTTACCCAAATAAATCAACAAAAAAATCTGATAAATCTAAAAATAATAACAGTGTTGGAACTAGACTTGGAAAGAAGAAAGAAAAAAGTTCACAACAAAGTTTATTTAGCTTCTTTGGGAAAACATGACACAATACAATACAATACATAAAATAAACTATTCATTATTAATCATTATTATTTTTGTTTCAATACAAATAATGGATATTTTCTAATTTCAAATAATGATGATTGCTATGTATCTGATTTGACAATGAAAAGAAGAAAGACACCCTTGAAAGAAATGAAACTCTACTACAAAAGTCTAATATTTCCATTCTCTGGACTTCCTGCTGTTCATTTAAAAATATAATTAAACAAATAAATTGCATTCATAGTGATGAGTTCATGCTAACCTTTATGGCAAATCCAATTTCATGCAAAGCATATATACATATATGTATGACTGACCATGTGAATTAAGTTATTATATTATTGAATACTTTTTAAAAAATTACATTATAATAATTTTATATAAATAAATAATATAAATATATGTGTGAATGTTAATATTAATATTAAAAATCTTCATGATAATCAGATTCTATATTATCATCATTATCATCCAAAGCCTCTTCATCATAATCAATATCATAATCTCTGAATGAATATTGAATTTTACTACTTTGGTGACTTTTTCTTTTATCAATCTTTGTTGCTTTAGGCTGTTTCGAACGTTTATTACCAGATGATCTGTTAACCTTTAATCTATTTGAACCATCAGGTTTTAATTTTGGTAAAGGTGTTTTTCCTGATGTTTTTATTTGATATTTATTATTTACTAAATCTACAAAAGCCACATCAAATCTAGAACTAGGTTTATGTGCCATGACAAAATATCCCTTTGGTACTAAATAAACAAATGGTGCAGATGGGTGAAGACATTTAACAAGTTGTGAATTATGATAATCATACACAGAAAGAGTAAAACGTGGCCGCAATTTAAGCGAATCTGGTTCACGTCTTTGACAAACAATAAGTAAAGAGTGTGGAAGATGTAATAGTATTTGAAGAACTGATCCTGAACTTGGAATATTTTCAAAAATTACTCTATGGACAATCTTTTTATAAATAGTGACTTCTTCATTTGATTTATTATTTATATTTGGATTGTGATTATCAATAGAAAAAAATCCATAATTTGTACCATCAATACTTGTTTTTGGATCTGGGTTGGAAACAGAAAATTGAACAACAACGGTTACTTTCATATCTCCCTTTAATTGCTTTGCTGAAATAAAAATCCAATCTGTGTTTGGAGAGAACTGATTTTCTAATATGTTTGAATTTTCAATAATACGACAAGAAGTTAATCCTGTACTTATTTTCCAAATCAAATTTAATTTTTTTAAAGCAAATCTTTGATCAATATTTTTTTTGAAAACAAATTCTGAATCTTCTGGTTGAAAAATCAAAACATGGCCACCAGAACATGTTACAAAGATTTGAGGAGTAAGATGAGACCGTTGATTATCATTATTAGCCAAATTTTTTTCATATTCACCATTTTTATTTTTCCATCTAATAAGAAAACTGTGTGCTTTCCCTGGTAAAATTTCATAATATTGTATAATAGCTTGTTCATATTCCCCAACTTTAAAAAATTTATATTGACCTATTTCACTAAGATCCCAAGCACTAAATACATGTTTTTCATCATTGTTAATATACCCCACAAATAAAAAATCATTAGAATCCAAATAGTAAGCAGTGATTCTACCTTTTGGTTGTTGACTAAAACCTACAGTATGAATTTTAATTGACACATCTGGAATTGGAATAATGAATCTTGCACTAGCAGGAACTTCCACAGAATCCTGGTAATGAACATTAACACTAGCTAATGTTGTCAAATTGAAGATTCCAGTATCTGTTAGAGTTATTAAAAAATTGCGCGAAATAAACATTTCTAATAGTGGAGGATTATTGACATTAAAATTTATCATATGATGGGCAGGATATGAAAATATTTTACAAATTCCTAAAGAAATATCTGGCGAGTACATAAAATGCTCATCTCCAAATTTAATTCCAAAAATATTTTTGATATAATTAAGATCTTGATTTAAATTATCCTGTGTGACTGTAAGCAATTGAGTATCTAAAGAAATGTTTTGTTGACTTTTAACATTTAGCGAGAGAATCTTGATGTAAACCTGATATAAACAATCAAACCAATTTATAAATACATTGATCATTTTTAATGATCAAATGAAAGAAATTATGATTTAGTCACCTCAACTTGAATATTTGGCACCAAATTAAAATCTACATTCGATATTGTAGGTCTCTCATTTATCAAACTTATATTACCGTTCCTCTCATCAATAACCATTCTTTTCTGTGACATAATTGCAATGGCTATATCATTACTTATGAACTTACAACCAAGGATATCATACGAATATGAATTAATGAAAGATTGATCAGAAAAAAGTGAATACTTCAAAAGTGTAGATGAAGCAGGATCCAGAGAATTTATAACACTAGTCCATAAATCTGATTCTTGATATTCTTTGTAAAGACATATAGTTTTGTAAGATTGTTTATTTTGAAATAATGAGTGTGGAATCGAATCAAATTTGGACTCATGTATTTTTCGCCAGGTGTGATCATCTGAACAAATTAAAAATGTCATAATCTATCATATTAAAGTGTCATAAACACAAGTTCAAATTCAATATAATACCTTGTAAAATAACATCCCATAAACGATTGACAAGTCTCATTTTTAAGACAGTACGTATTGGTAATGCACAGAATATACGCAGTAAAAGCTCTTTAGTGACCAAAACTTTATGGCAATCATCCGTGTGCTTTTTAACTTGTACTAAAGTTGTTGTGTCATTTTCAGAAATCTTCAATTTCTCAGATAATTGTTGATTAAATTTATCAACTGAATCATTTGAAGAGTTTTCATTTGACATTCTTGAAAATTGTGTGAGGATATATATATAATAAATAATCAGATAAGCATTATTGTGTCACAATAAATTTAAAAAAATTTTTTTTTAACAACAAAAAATGCAAGCAACTGCGATAGCATTTGGTCGTTCAGCTTGGAAAGGACCTTATTTTGTAAAATTTCCGGGTAAGGGTTAAAAGAAATAATTCATTGTCAAAAAGGAAAGCCAAAATGGTTGTTAAAATGACATATATATACGTATATAGGTTTGAAGGAGGCAATGAAAAATAACCTTCCTGTAAAGACTCAAGCTAGATCATGCACAATATTACCAACATTTGTAGGATTAAAATTTTTAGTACATAATGGTAAAGATTATGTACCAGTTAACATCACAGAAGACATGATTGGGCATAAGCTGGGAGAATTTTCTGTTACTAGAAAGAAATTTGTTTTTAGACAAACAAAAAATAGATAATAATTTTTCTAATTACACTAATAATCATTATAATTACCGTAAAATTTGCTTCAAAAATATATAATATTGAATGCTATTGGCATAATAGTTTTACCATATATAATAGATTGATGTTAACAGAGATAAATTTAATTTTACCCGGTAAAAGAAATCACAATTTGTCAATAAAGAAGCTAACGTAAAATCGTGAATATTTCTACAAGCTTAGCCTTCTAAAAAGTAGTTTGTATTGTTTCACAGGGATAACTTATTTTGTCCGAATCTTTTATTATTATTATGTAATTATTCCATACTAATACATTATTAATATTAAATATTGTTGAATTGAATTCGAATTTATATTAAATTTAATAATAATGACGTTTTTAACAAACTTTCTTATAAATATTCATACAAGTTTAAAATTTATTTCTCTCAAAATAAAATGAAATTGTTTACAAATTATCTATTTTATTTTGGAATCTTTTTACTTGATTATTTTGAATTTATTTTAGCAAATAATGGTTGTTGGTATCAATATTATTTACCAAAATTTCTAAATCCTTCTAATAATGATAATTCTGAACGATTGTTATTCACCAATGACAATGAATATTTATCAGGTTTTTTTTTTAAAATTGATTTCTTTCTATCTTAATTATCGTTAAGCTCGTTAAAATATGTGTATGTATGTATATTACTATTATTATTAATATAGTAGATTGGGCGGCGGAAAATTTTTTAAAGTTGTCGAGCGAGGAAAAAATGATTATTGAGAATGGATATGGTAATAATTAAAATAAATAATCGAATAATGAATGATAAATAAAATAAATAAATTGTTTAATATAATAATAACGATATTTTTAGTTTCATTGGCAAAATTTGAAAAAAAGTCAGATTGTTTTAAGAAAGCAATTGGAAATTTGAAACATGGTTGTAGAGAGATAAATTTATCAGAAACAATCAAAATCCAATGTAAGAAGATGTTGAAGATTATGGGATCTAATAAAATAATATTAACTAGTTAATTAATTATATACGTGTGAATGTGTTGTGTAGTTGCTATACATTTAACAAAATGTGAAATCGCAACAGCTAATCTTCTAGTGCCAATGGAATGTCAAGATTTTGATCGCGAAATAGGAAATAATGAAGTAGGAAAATGCGTAGAGTATGTTTTATCACTTGTAAATAAATATATGTGTGTGCGTGTGTCCATTTATACATATATTGATACATAGATCCTTGATTATTTTTTTTTAATGGACAGATCTTTATCAAGGACTCCACAATTATGGACTTCGTATTCTGGATATTTTCGTGAAGTTTGTATGTATTGTTCATTAACTGTTAAATATAAATGAATCATTACTGACTAAAATTATCATTAAAAGTTCATATATGTTTTGCCGTACGATACTCGGTAGAAAAAGGTATTGTGAAATAGTTTTATTATGATGATTGATCAAAGAACTAAATTAATGTGTGTTTGTTTGTTCACATTAAAGATTTGCTTGAAGAATTACACAGAAACATAACAAAAAACCAACTTTTCAATTATAAAATTTTAAGAAATCAACAATCTGAAATGATTGAATTACGTAAAGAAGAATTGAAAAGATTAAAAATGCTTGAGAAATTTCAATCCGATATTTTAAAAAATGTGAATGAAATTGAGGTAAATTATGTATTTTTTTCTATTTATATTTAAACATGTTTCTGAATTTTATCTATGCGTCAAAATAGCAACTATCAATCGATACCGAATCATTCAAAGGTAATCTTAATAATTCCAGAATTATTATTCAAGATATTTTGAAATATTTATTTGAATTCATCGAGGTATTTATTATAAATTATAACAATAACAATAATAAAGTAATATAAATAAATAAGCAATTCATGAATCTTTTTATTTATTTTAAGGAATTCAAAACTTTTCAAACAAATGTTAAAGAAACATTTAAAGAGTTTGACGCAATTAATAATCAACAATTAGAAATTATTAACAACGTTATGGTAAATTTATTTTTTTGGACGACGAATTACGAGAATTTGAGCTAATTCATTTATTTATTTCAAATAAGGAACAAGAAGAAAATCTTGAAAAAATAAATGTTGCAAAATTTCAAGAAATCTCAACGGTAAGTTTATTTATAACAATGTACACATATAATAATAATAATATTATAATTGATAATTATTAGAATTTACAAAAAATCAATTTCGCCATTTTTAATACTTTGAAATTACAAGATCAAGTTCATCAAAATATAAAAGTTTACAAGGTAGTAATAATAACACATTGTTTTCATTACTTAAAATGATATTGATTAATTATTAATATTACTAGCAAGAAAATCAAGAATTTATGAAACAATTACATCAGACATTAAATGAATCCAAATTAAATTTACTAACCTTTTTAAATTCTACACAAAACGAAATCAAATTATTCAATGAAATCTTGATTGATTCTAAAGAACATCAGAAAGATCTAATAAATATTTTTAAGCCATTAGTTTTAATATCAAATATTATGAATTGGTTTATAGGTGGTGATTTAAAATGATATTAATACTATTGTATTGTTATTTTAATAATCAACGCTAACCAATAATCCTTGATAATGATGATTATTAGAAAAACTTTATTTTAAAAAGTTGATTTTTGGTTTTGTTTTAATGACTATATTCAAATTTATTAATTTCAATAAATCAATAAAAATAATTGTCGGTAAGTGCTAATTTATGTTTATGATGTTTGTAATATTTCGTATTAATTATTAAAATGATTAATATTATATGATAATATGATAATAGCATTTAATAGTATTATGTTATACGTAATGGTTAAATATAAATTGAAAATTGAAGCATTAATTGCGGTAAGGAAAAAACATGAATTTTACGATTTAAGGTAATAATAAAAATCTTATGGTTTTTTGTTTTTTTAAAAAATAGTTTTTTATTTTTATCACGTTATCAATTATTGTCGTTGTGAAATTGTACAACCACAAATACCATTATAAATCACAATTCAAGTTAGTAAGATATTTTTTATAACTATATATTTTTAGTTTTCATCAATAACAAGTTGAAATTTTTTTATAGATTTACAAAACTTAATCAAAGAAGATATCATGATACAATTTCTACTATAATCACTGATTATTCGTATTTAAAGAATAATCAATCTTCTTTTAGTGTAAGAAAATCTGGCGGTAGAAATTATTTTATCTAAATGTTTATAACTCGGTGATTGATTAATTAATCATTATTTTTGGGAAAAGAACTCATCTGTTTGCAAATAATTTTACCAAACTTATGTCTGAAGGAAAAATCTACGCAGAAGAAAATCTATTTATAATTAAATGCATTTTTACTCGATTGTAAGAATTGTTTTGAATCAATCATAGAGATATAAAAACCGTGTATTAATAAAATTGAGAACAACAAATAATTTTATCTTCCCCTCATATATATTGTTTATAATATAAACAACATACTAAAAGTTTTTTTTTATTCCTTTGAAAATATTATTATGAAGAATCGTGACCACATCTTCTTTTTCTTCTCTTGCCACTATTCTTTGACAAATGCTTTGATGAAAATTTTGAAGGAGATTCTAATGAATTGGTACCTGAATGATCAGTAGAGAAAGTGTTACTTTAACAACTCCCGGGTGGGTAATGTGGTAATAGTAATGTTGGTTACACGAATCGAATAATCCGCTATGCTCTATGTGAAATTGTATTATTATTATATATAGTGATCTCGCGATTGTGCACGGATGTTTAAAAAACAAAAATGAGTCACATCCAGAATAATCCCAATCACAACAACAATCAAGTTTATAGCAACAATAAATACAATTACAACAACAATCAATATTGCAAAAGCAGCAGTAGCAGCAACAACAACAACACCAACTACAATTATAACAATAACGATTACAATAATACCATAAACAGCCACGATTCCAACAACAATTATATGAACAAATATAAAAACTACAACAACAGTAGTGGCAGTGGCGGTAGCAATAATAATAAACATATTTACTACAATAACAATCGACAAGCAGATGATAATGCTATTGAAAACGACGATGACTTTGAAGATAATGATAAAACCTTAATCGTTAAGAAAATAAGATTTAAAAATAGTGACATTGATGATATTTATGCTGCTAGAATCCTCAAAACAAAAGGTGGCGAAGTCCCAGGTGAAGAATTAGGAAAATTTATGAAAGAAATTGAAATCTTGAAAATGTTAGATGGAGAACAATTAATGAGATTAGCAAACGAAGATATAGATGATGAGAGCTTAGTTATTTTGCAAGATATAAATAATATAAATTCTGGACTTGATGGTGCTAATGCTGCCAATAACAAAAATAACAAAATAAAGTCATTTGGGATTTTTTTGATTCTCGTAATTATTTTATTTTTAATATTTCATTAAAAAAAATACATTTATAATCAATATGACATATTTTACCAATCACCATTAGTTGCAGCAGTTACAGCTTCTTGTAAAGTTAAATCAAAATACATTATCATCACCTTTAATTATAATAACAATATTTGTACTATTGCTATTGGCATAAGAATTGATGTTAAGGGTATTGCTATTACTATTATCATCATTTTTTCAGAATTATTTTTCTCATCAACTTCTCCTATGATTTTATCTTGATCATTATTACAATTTTCCATGATATGCTTGCTTTCACCTTTCAAGATTCCAAATACACCAATAATCAAAATATTTTAATACCATGATGTTTGATATGATGCTTGGAATACTTGTTCAATTCCTTTTCATGTCAATTAAAGATTGCAGTCCAGTTGAATCCATACAATAAATAAAGTTGGTGTCTGTAACTGTTTCACATTTTCTGCAACTGCAGATTTTAAAGCTCAAGTTGCAACCCTCCCTGCAACCCCTGCAACTGTCTGCAACTATAATTATGATGACTTAATATCAAAAATGGAATCACATAACTGCAAAAATGGGATTTAAATAAAATCATTACTACTACTTTTATTGATTATTTCTAAATAAAAAAACATTCTTATTATCTTTTAATAAACAATATTCACTATTGCCATTATTTTTACCATTAATTATCTTTTAAATAAAAACATTATCAACATTAATTTATAAAACTGATTATTCATTATACATTTTAATATATATTAATATACATACATATTAATACTAATAATACATCCCAGGAAAAATATTATATGACAGAATTGTTTAGTATCAATTTTTATCATTTTTATTGGTTGAACTTTAATTTAAAAATTTTTTTTTTGATAAATTTAGTTTTATAGTGATTGAAGTAGCTGATCAACCAGAGATTGCAGACAGTTGCAACAGTTGCAGCATTAGATGTCAATATTTTTTTGGGTTGCAACCTCCCGAGTTGCAACTTCCTAGTTGCAGAGCCATCTTTAATTGAGTCACATGAAAAAAATATTAATATAAATGATTGAGCCAGGCGCAATTAGAAATTGAGATTTTGGAAATTGAATCAAGCCAAATTAACATGCACAATACAATTGTGATGTTATACAACATTATTGATCCCCGAAAGTTTTGGTAATGTTCACTTTCTCTGGTTTTGTTGCAGTATGCCCCATTTTATGTCTACTATTTCTTCTAATTGTGATTTTTGTGACATTTAATTAAATTGACCCGGTTTTGCTGGAGAACCATATCACAGTAATAGGTAGTAGTGAGTAAATGATAACATTCATTGGTTTCAACGTATTATTTTATGGATTGATATAGGATATTTATGTTGTCTCAAACCGTAGGCATCCTTTATTATTACATTGTAATTATAGCAAGAGTTTTTCATGCTAATGTTTTTGCTGAATTATTTATTACCAATTACAAATAAAAAATATTGCTAAGAATATATTTATTTTATTATCTTGAAAGCAATATTAAAAAGTTTTAATAATGATTGGCATATAAAATTATCCAATCAATTTCTTTATGGATCAACCAATCACAGATAAAGCCCGCTATGTTTATTCAACCATCATATCTAAATTTGGCAGTAAAGGAAAATAGTTTTTTAAACAAAAACACGCATAACCTTTTTTAAAAAATTTTATTGCATTTTTGAATGAATCACGAAATTGTAATTTTTGAAATTTGAGCATGTGGCGCAGCAATAGGAGGTCTTTAGACCAAGCCAACCATACAAAAATTATGCAATTATTACATTGAGTGTAAATATTACATAATTTTTCATGCAAATATTAAACTTTACATAAATATTTATCTGCCAAGAAGTAATACAGTAACATATAAATATAAATATAAAGCTCTTCACAAGTTGGCTCATGCAGAGCAATAAATACAGTCAGGGAGATTTCCAAATTTAGATTACAGTGCGGATCATCTATACTCAAAAGTTAAAATTTTTGAAATATTACATGATCCACACATTGGATTTTTAAAAACTCGCCACCATTCAATTCAGCTTTAAAAAGGGAGTCTATTAATCTAAAAAAAAATTTTTTCTCAAATTTTCTTTTTCATAGATTTTTAAATTTGAAAGTTATGCTCAGAAGTGCAACAATAATTTTCGTGTCACACTATTTTGAATCTCACGACCAAATTTGGTAATGATTTCTTTTAAATGTAATATGTTCGTTAAACTTTTTTGTTGTAAAGAACTTTTATTTATTAATAAAAAAAAGGAAATAAATAAGTCAAA